CAAACTACTCACCCCACTCACCCAAACAGCCCGTTCATTTCACTCACGCAAACAGCCCATTCATTCCACTCACTTCAACAACCCATTTACCCCACTCACCCAAACAGCCCATTCACCCCACTTACCCACAAAGCCCACTCACCCCAGTCACTTCACTCACCCACACTCCCCAGCAGCAGCACATCTGCTGGGGCTAGACTCTAACCGCCACACTGCTGCTGCTCCTTCGTGTTCCCTCCCAACTATTTTCTTCCCTCTCTCTCCCGCTGCTCACCTCCACTCACCAACGCAGCACGTCTGCTGTGGCGTTAACTCCAAACGCCAGTCTGAGAAGGGCACGCCTTGGGCATCGACTTGAATAGCCCACTCGATCCACTCACCCAAACAGCCCACTCGATCCACTCACCCAAACAGCCCACTCAATCCACTCACCCAAACAGCCTGCTCAATCCACTCACCCAAACAACCTGCTCAATCCACTCACTCAAACAGCCCACTCAAACAGCCCACTCAATCCACTCACTCAAACACCCCACTCACCCCTCTCACCCAAACAGTCCACTCACCCCAGTCACCCTCAATGCCACTCAGCCTACAAACCCCCCACTCACCTGCACGGAGGCCTTGTGCAGGTGGGCAAGGGGAGTCACAAGACGGCAGCACGTCCAAGGAGGAGGTGCTGCAAGAGAGGGGCATGACCCACCTGATGTGAGATCTGCGCCCATCAGGTGGGGCATGCCGCACAACCCTTCTACCCACTCACCCTACTCACCCACCCGCACATTCTTTTTAACCACTCAACCCATCACCCACACACGCAACCCACTCACCTGCACACCCCACTCACCCCACCCAACCCACTCACTCATATACACCACCCACCCCACTCGCCTGCACACCCCACTCACCCCACCCAACCCACTCACTCATATACCCCACCCACCCCACTCGCCTGCACACCCCATTCACCCCACTCATCTGTACACCCCTCTCATCCCAGTCATACCACTCGCCTCACTCACCCACTCACCCCACTAACCCCACTACTCACTCACCCACTCATCCCACTCACCAGCACATCACGAGAGGTAATTTGTGAAGGTTCCGTTCAAGAGAGTGACTGAAACGGGAGGAACAGGAACGGGGGAAGGGAGGAAGAAGGGGCAAGAGTCAGGTTTGAGGGTTTGGGTGTATTATCTTGGGGCTTGGTGGACAATGAACAGAAACCAGCAGGCCCATGTGGGACGGTTTAATAAGTTGTCATCAACATCGGCGCTGTTATAAAAGAGTGACTGGAAACGAAGGTGTCGAGAGCAGCACAAAGTGACTGAGAGGGGTTAGGAGGGGTATGACAGGGAATTTGAGTTCAGAGGGGCAAACCCAGAGAGGGATTCAAGTTGAGGAGGGGTATGACAGCTTGACCCGGGCAGGTGTGGATTACATTCTGCCATAATTTTCCTGTTACTGGCTTGAAGGAGAATTCTAGAGCATTCCGGAGGGACTAGTAAGTGCTCCTATCCCAACTACACCAACTTGGGATCAGCTTGTAACACCACAGTCCCGAATCTATCAAGACTCAACATTTGCTACACACATCATCTACAGGCACACTTTCCACATAAGCTCTAAAAAGGGTATCATAGAAAACCTATCAAACAAGACACATGACGCTTGAACCAATGCACTCTGATGACCAAAGACACTATGTCAGGCTAGAACTTTTTGAGAGTCAACCCATGCACAGCCCGAAGCCCACAGCGCAGTGCACGGGACATTCCATCGATTGCTTGCTTGCACCCTGTGATATCCAACTCCTGCAGCACCTTCAGCTCCGTCAAATCATCCGGCAAGGCTTTCAACTGCTCACAGCCAGAGAGGCTAAGTGTCCTGAGCCTGGTCAGCTGTGCAAACCTGGGAGGAAGGGAGCTGATGGAAATATTGTCGAGTCTAAGCAGGTAGAGGAAGCCAAGCTGCGTGAGAGAAGATGGTAGCTGCTGCAAGGCAATACACCCTGACAGATCCAGCTCACGCAGCCTGGATAATGAACCGATGCCACTGGGGATTGAGGTCAGCTTGGGTGCAAGAACCTTCAGCGATGTCAGGTGTTGGAGCTGTGAGACTGTTTCTGGCAGCTCCCGAAGCTCTTTGAAGTCGTATAATTGCAAATCGCGCAGCTGTTGCAATGCCGAACCGATGCTTTGTGGGAGGGCCTGAATCAAGTCAGCAACAGAGATACTCAAGCGATGGAGCTGAGAAACTGATTTCAGGGAGAATGGCAACTTATAAACGTTGTTTGCCAACCCCAGCTCCAACTGCCTCAGACAAGGCTGCAGAGAAATCTGCGGCAGTGAATCAGCCCAACTGTTTCTGTACCAGAACAGAACCTCAAGTGAGCGTGGCAGCAACACGGGAAATCCACAAAGTCGACCGCACCTTGTTACCCTCAAACACTTCAGCTTCATAAGGCTTTTTAGCCTTCTAGGCAGAAAAAAGAGCTGTTGACAATCCTCAATGACCAAGGTCACAAGGCTAGTGAGGCCTTTAGTGGAAAGTGGTATCTCTGTGACAGCGTCACAGTCATGAACGTAGAGATGCTGCAGGTTACTCAAGTTGTCCAGACCCTTGGGAAGCACGGTAAATGTGCACTTGCCAAGCTCAAGACTCTTTAGAGAAGTCAGCTGTGCAAAGAAACAGAAGAGCCGCTGATTTGTGCATCGATGCAGATGAAGAGTCTCGAGAGATGTGAGGCTGCAAAAATCTGCTGGAAGCTGTTGGATACAATAGCAGTCATGCAGGAGCAGCTTTTCCAGACATGTAGCTTGGCAGAGGGAGTCAGGTAGCTTGAGGAGTGGCAAGTGCTCCAGCGTCAGTGACTTGAGCGCAGGCAGCTGTCCAAATTCCTCCGGCAGCTTTCTAAGCCAGCACCCAGTAATCGAGAAGCACTCCAATGCTGTTAGTTCTGTAATACTATTGGGGAGTTGGTCAAGATTAGAGCAATACCGAATGGTCAGCTGACGGAGGCGCGGCAACAGCTCTCCGATGTCATCGGGAAGGCGCTGAAGGTTGGATTTGGTTATCACCAGCTGTTCCAGGAGACTGCACGGTGATCCTGAAGGGAACATTGAAGCAAAGCTGAGTCTGGGAATCTGGGACTCAAGTATCTTGAGACAAGGTAGCTGGGCTACAGGGAAAATTGCAGCTGGTGGATCATTCTCGGGGAGGCAGGTTTCACTGCAAATCGAGAGTCTGGCGAGTCTTGGAAGTCGAGCGAGGCTTGACAACTGCTGATGTGTCAATTTGGAGTCAGAAATATGGAGGGATGTGAGCGAAGAAAGTTCTCCAAATCTGAAAAAAGTCAAGGCTGAAACGCTGCTTAGAGAAACTGTGTGGAGCTGCTGCAGCTGAAAGAAAGAATCGGGTAAGTCAGTATCATTATGGAGGCAGTGAAGTGTTATTTCCTCCAGCTGAGTGCAGTTGAGAAAGAGAATCTCCAAGCCAGCTTCAGTAACTGGATGCTCATCCTTACTTCCTCCACACTCCGTTGGTGTGATCCTGCGACCCACATGAAGAGCTTTCAGCTTAGGCCGTGCGGAAGCAAGGCGAGCAAGAAAGGCGTTGTCAATAGTCTCGACACTGCCGTCGCTCAGGTGAAGATTGGTGAGGTTGTCGAAACAAGCGACAGCGTTGTCCAGATCTTGACGAGATACGAAAAGGTTCTCTTGGACTAACATGCTCGTGACCTGACGTTTAACTAGATGATGCCAGCGATTGCAAACGGACGCGATGAGCAGACTATAAGCTGCATCTGCTGGCAAAGTAGGCTTGTTCGCCGCAAAATGCCAATGAGGAAGCGAGTCGCATGAAGAATTGGTATATTCTTGGAAAGGCATCTCTTCCCGAAACCATAAAATCCTGATAAGGAGGTCATCTGAAAGTCGATCTATGTGTGAGAGACGCTCCATCTGAACTTCACGGATCGACCGCAAGGACTGTAAGAAAGGTACGTAACGAAATCTCCTACTCCATATCTAATATGACAAGGGATTACGAAAAGTCATTCGTATACGGATCTTACAATCCCAGCTCCTCGCTCCTTCTCTACCAAAGAAATTCGGAAACACGCAGCACTACCCGCTTGCTCACCTGCGGTTTTGAAGGTAGGCAAGTACGCGCCGTGCTTGTGTTGCAGGAGGAGCTACCCACCTCAACGGAGATCTAGTAGGCCCTATCGAAGCTGGGTAGTATGGCTGACGTGCTTTCTTACTTTCGTATTCTCCTATGACAAAGCACCAGAGAAGAGCTTGCTTCGGCTTATGGGATCCCCTTCATGAGCTTGATGAGCCCAAGGTGGGCTAAGCTGACTAGATCTCGTGCTGGACAGGAATTCACTTGACGAGGCTTGGGCTACTGAAATTCTTTCTGAGGACATGTCCGCTGGTCGTTCTCTGGGGACTTGATCACTGGTCGCCCTCGGCGAACCGAAGTCACGAAGCACGATGACGAAACCAGACGACCTGATCGAAAACTCGGGTTTCCCGTCGGTGCGCGTTTTGATTTCGCAACCCTGACGGACGTCCAACGGGTAGCTGGTTGATTTCGAGCCCGGACAACCATTTCATTTCCCGACAAATTCCCCGCCCCACCCCTCAAACCACTCTGTCGTTTATCGTGGGCGTCCGCGTTGTAAACTGGCTACTTCACTTTATATTGATCAGAGCCCCACCTGATAGAACATACAGGTGCCAGTTCCCCCAGAATCGCATCGCACCTGAGAAACTAGTTTCACCCAGAGAACGTGAGTCCCTCCCACCAAAACCACAAAGTCCCATCCCAACCACTTCTCGTGCAGCACCACCACTTTCCACCCACTTCCACCACCACACACCTATCTCTCTTACAAACAACCAACTTCAGTACCCAACGAGACGACGCTCCCTTCGGCGCCAATATCACAGTAGGGGTCCTCATTATCACCCAGTTTCCAGCAGTTAGCGTTTACAATGATGATTCGACCGCGTTCGCAAAGGAGCGGAAACGTAGAGATGGCTTCTCATTGTCGCGCCAACTCCACCGTCGGCTTAAGCTCCCAATCAGCTGCCGCAGCTGTCGCCGCTTCGATTCCCTCTCGAAGCGCCCTCGCCTCCAGAAGACCGCTCCGCGCACCGCCGACGCTGGCCCTCGGCGCGCTTCACTCCCTCGCTCTCAACTTCTTCGCTCTCCTCTGCCTCGCGCTGCTCGCCGTCTCCCCTCTCGCCTCCGCTCGTTCCTTCGACAATGCGCCGCCAGGTGAGCGATGGCTGGGCGACAGGCGAGCGATAGGTGGGCGACATATGGGCGAGGTGCGGCAGGCGAGCGACAGACGAGCGATAACGACAGGTGAGCGACAGGCGAACGACAGGCGAGCGACGGACGAGCGACGGACGAGCGACAGGTGGACGACAGGAGAGCGATAGGCGAGCGATAGGCGACGATAGGCGAGTGATACACAGGTAGACGACAGACGGGCGACAGACGGCGACAGACGGCGACAGGTAGGCGAAAATGGGCCTCAGGTGTTACCGCATGGGCGGGGACCGGAGGCCGACAGGCGAGCGACAGGCGGGAAGCACGGCCTGGCGGGTCGGCGAGCGAGGCGATGGGCGAGAGGTGGAGACGAGGAGGAGAGGAGCAGCGGAAGGCAGGGAGGAAACGGAAGATGGTTGCACACGCGATGTAGGGGAAACGGCGGGTGACGGCATGGGCGAGGACTGGCGGGCGACAGGTTTGGGCGACAGGTATGGGCCACAGGTATGGGCGACAGGTATGTGCGACAGGCGAGCGACAGATATGGGCGACAGGTATGGCCGACAGGTATGGGCGACAGATATGGGCGACAGGCAAGCGACAGATATGGGCGACAGGCAAGCGACAGATATGGGCGACAGGTATGGGCGACAATGGGCCCCAGGTGTAGGAGAAGCGGCGGGCGGGATGGGCGAGGACTGACGGGGCCGGTGAGGCGAAGCGATGAGCGAGAGGCGGAGGCGATGCAAAGGGCCCCAGCCGGTGGGCCAGTGGGGCGAGGCGAGGAGGAGCCACGTGTAAAAATGTTATTATATAGACGTCTCAAAAATAACCTTTTTACACGAGGCGGAGGCGATGCAAAGGGCCCAGCCGGTGGGCCGGTGGGGCGAGGCGAGGAGGAGAGAAGCATAGGGAGGAGGAAAAAAGGAAAAGAAAGATGTTTGCACAGGCAATGCAGGAGATAGACGGGGTTTATTAAAGAGAGGGAACGGGGGAAGGGCGTGGGAGGGGAAGGGCGTGGGAGGGGAATAGGAATGCCTCGGGGGCTGCGGCTACACATGCCTGTGGAAGGTCGTCTCTACTCTTCACCTCTCCGCATCCCTCTACACCTTTCCCCACACACAGCCGCTGTCCCCCCTCCACCGCCTCCTTCCCCTCCTTCTGGCAGCTGCGACGCGACTACACATGCCTGTGGAAGGTCGTCTCTAATCCTCACCTTTCCACACCTTCCCCCTTCCCCTACACATGCCCTGCCTGCACATCCTCACCTTGCTGAGACTGCTCTACACATGCCTGTGGAATGACGTCTCTAATCCTCACCTCTCCACACCTTCCCCCTTCCCCCTTCCGCCTGTGGAAGGATGTTTCCAATCCTCACCTCTCTGCACCTTTCCACACCTTTCTCCTGTGTCACCCCTTGCCCCTTCCCCAGCTGCAGCCCCACCTCCGCCGCCACCCAATGGGGGCCACGACTTCACGTTCCTGTGGAAGCACGTTTCCAATCACCTCTCTTCACCTCTCTGTACCTCTCTATTCCTTTCTCCTCTGTCATCCGTTTCCCTCCCCCAGCTGCGGTCCCCCCTCCGCCCCCACCCTCCCCCCCCTCGGGCGGCTACGACTACACGTGTCTGTGGAAGGACGTCTCGAAGACCAACTGCAGCGACAAGAGCGTCGGGCCGTGGGGCATCCTCACCTTCATCGTGCTCCTCGTAGCCGCTGGACTCATCATCTGCACGCCCTTCTTCATCCTCTACCGGCAAACTCAGCGCGGGTCCCAGAAGCTGCGCATCTGCTGCTGCGGGCGGAAGTATCCGGAATATGCGGAGGTGGAGGCGCGGGCTGCTGCGAATTCAACGGACATGCCGCGTCCGCCTGAAGTGTCAAAGTTCAGAAGCATGAGCACAAGCTCAAGCACGGATAAGACATGACTGGCAGGAAGGAGAAGTACTGGTAACTTGTAATCTATTGACTGGCACAAGTACGGAAACACATGACTGGCAGGAAGATAAGTAGGCCGTAATTTATTGACCAACTGATACAGTGAGAATAATAATTATTATTATAGAATTTTACATCCTTTTATATATTGGACTTTGTTTAATTCATTATGTCATCTGTCAGACAGCCCGTTTCTGACACTCGTAACTGCCTGGCCGTTCAACTTCCGTACGGCATGCCGCGCTGTACCATAGCTGTGGCCTGCGGCCCGTGCCGTAC